GGATCTCGTCTCTACGCACACCTGGATGTCTGGGCTGGGGGGATAACAGCCTCCCCTCTCCAGCTTTATGCTAAGTTCCTCTTGAAAGGCTGGGGCTGCTTCATTCCACCAGACCTCGCATTAAGCCATCCTCAGCCAGGCTGAATGCAATTCCTTCCTCTCTCTTGGAGCAGATCAGTTAGCAGGGCCGTGTAACAAATTACACCAGAACTGAGGGGCGGTTAAACAACCATGAAATATGGTCATGGATTCTTATCTCTGCTTGACAGAGAGGATCGCAATGGTTCATCTCTGCTCCACTGTGTCTGGGGCCTTTTCTGGAAGACTCGATGACCCGGGGCTGGAATCATCTGGAAGCTTATTTGCTCACATGTCTGGCACTTGATACTGGCTATTGGCAAAGACTTTAGCTGCAGTTTTCAGCCTGAATGTCTGCATGTGGCTTCTCTGTGTGGCTTGAGGTCCCTCACAGCACAGTGGCTGGGTCCGAGGGCCAGTGTCCCCAGAGCAAGAGAGAAAGCTGGAAGTCTCAGAAGTCACTTCCACTGCCCTTTAAGGGTGAAGACAGTAAAAAGCCCACTTGAGCTGAAGGAGAGAAGAAAGTCTACGCTTTTGACAAGGTGCTAAAGAACACGTGGGCACAAAAATACTTCCATGGCCATTTTTTCAGAAAATGAAATCTCCCCTCCCCTCACCCCCATCTCTTGGGTACCCTGCTTGGTTCCAGGCTTCTTTCCATCCTCTGTCTCCACCATGCCCTCTGGAACTCCCCACAGCTCCACCTCCTGGGACACATGAAATGATCCTCTCTCCTAAGCACATGCCTTCCCCCTCCCCCAAACTCCCCTCTGCCCCCCACCCCATCCTCCTGGTGAAAGCTGTCCCTTCTCCTGCTGGGATTCCCTGCCCAGGTTCCCAACATGACTTTCTTGGCTGCTCAGCCCCATACTCAGTCCCGAGAGAGGCGGGGATGCAAAGAGAGAAAGGGAATCTAAGGGACCTTAGGGTCCAGAGGGAGATGGGGCCCACACACCTGACACAGATATTTTTAAACTTGCAGCTTCTAACAAAACCGCTGGTACAACCGCAGGAACAGAAGTCTGTGGTCAGAGAAGGTTATGAACTCATGTCCTTGGACTTGCAACAGCAAGAGAGGGGAGTGTGGGGGATGCTGATGCCTCCAGACCATTATTCCTCCACCTTCCTGGGGAAAAGCCTTCTCTGAGGGCCTGGGGTGGGCCCCCGAGTCCCTACTCCTCACTGTCATCTCTCAAACACCTTCCTGGCCACTCTTTCACATTCTCCAGAAGCGTCACATCTTCACTGCATCACCATCAACACTGGTCACCATCAACATCCGTGGGCCAGCCACCTCAACTCCCTGGTCTCACAGTTCTCCTTCCTTCGTGCCTCCGAAGACCTTTGTCTCTAACCTGGATCTTGGCAGCACCCATGACTGCCCCCCCCCCACCCCGTGTAATCTCCTGGGACAGCATCCTCCTCTCTGACCACAGCCGCCAGTGCTCCACGCCTTCCCTCCCTCACCACCACTCTACCTGTTCTCCAAGCCTCCAAGGGCCTTGACCGCTCGCTCCATAGTCTCCCAATACATCAGCCTTCCTGGTGGCAGGGCCATCAAGAGTTACCATTCAAAGTCATCCTTGCCAATGCCCTCCATTCCCTTGGTCCCTTTTCCCTCTAGCTTTTCCCCCTTGAAAACCCCAAGCCTCCTAATCTCACCTCCCATCTTCTCCTGCATCCGAGCTGCAAGGTGATTCCAGAAAAAGTGAAGCAAATTGTAAACCAACACGCGTGTACGGAGAGAGCGACCTCCAAGGCCTCCAAGGATGTCCAAGTCCTAATTCCTGGAACCTGCGAATGTGTCACTTTACGTGGCAGACGTGATTAAAGTAAGGGTCTTGAGATGGGGAGCTGTTCCTGGATTAGCTGGGTGGGCCCAGTGTCATCACAAGGATCCATCTAAGGGCAAGAGGGAGTTAGCATCTCAAAGGAGACATGATGACAGAAGCAGAGGTCAGCATGGCACCATCCTGGGCCTCAAAGATGGAAGAACTCCTGGTGCCCTGGGATCATAGCATGGAATTGGGGGCAGCAAGCCTGATGCAACAGAGGGTCTGAACAGTGCAGGGAGGCAGATGAAGTGGTGTAAAGAGGTTGGACCGATCGGGTGGCGCTGTGCTTTTTTACAGTATCTTAAGACCAAATGCCCAAGGCCATGGCGCAGCCTAATTAAAGCTGAGCTAAAAATTAGATCAGCACGTTGCTGGGGAACTTATTCGGCCCCCTCCCAGGTGTGCCCTGGCCCCAACTCCAAATGAGGTCCACCTCTGGGAGATCTTTCCTTCCTTCCCCTAGTTATGTCTGGTCCTTCTTGGGAAAAGAGACGTCATTTGGGACAAATGAGAACTGGTTCATCTGGATGAGTAAAATATAGACAACCCCCATTTTGCTGAGTGTGGCGTATCTAAAGATTGTAGAAAATGTTGGATCTCACGAGGCTGCTTCCTTTTGAACTTGACCGCAGGGGTAATGACGATGCCCTCCCAGGGTGTCCCTCTGCATCTTGAGGCAAATTAGCCATTGGTCCAAGCTGTCTGGGTCTGCCCCAGGTGCCACTGTTAAGGTCTCTATGGCCTCAAACAACATTGAACTGTCCTCTGGATTGTCTGGTGGGATAAATTATTTGAGTTTCTGTCCCCTTCTTTCAGTTCATCTGTCCACCCAGCCATCCATCAGTCATTCAACAAACGTACATGAATTTCCACCCTGGGCTCAAATCTGGGGGTGTTCTCTGAGGGCACCCAGAATGAGAATGTGATACAGCCTCATTGTCTCTACCCTCCAGAAGCTTATCGCCCATCGGAGAAAGCTAATCCATCTGTGGGCTGTAAGTAATAGTAAGATCACCAGCCACCCACGACAGCCTACTCTGTTAGCTCAGATAACAAAATACCATAGAATGACTTAAACAACAGAAATGTACCTTCTCCTGACTCTGGAAGGCTGGAAGTCTTAGATCCGGGTGGCAGCCCGCTTGGGTTCTGGTGAGAGCCCTCCTCCTGGGTTTCGCCGCCCTGAGTCCTCCCATGGCAGAGAGAAAGACAGAACAAGCTGTCTGGTATCTTTTCCTTTAAGGACACTAATCCCATCATGGGGCCCCATTCCCAGGCCTTCATCTCATCTAACCACCTCCCAAGGGGCCCCACCTCCAAATAGCCTCACCTCGGGGTATGGGCTTCAACATCTGAATTGAGGGGGGACATGATTCTGCCCACAGCACCTAGCACAGGCCAAGCTGGTAAAGAGCATTATCCCCGATGCTCGCCAGCTCCCCAGTCAGCCGTCACTGCCCTCATTTAAGATGCAGGAAGGCAGCTTAGGGAGGCTGAAGAGCCCAGCGAGGCAGAGCAGGCTCTGATCCATGGCTGGCCTCTCCACCCCACGCCTCCCCCCAACCCCCCTCCCCTGCAGGCTGGTTCTCCAGAACGCTGTCCTCCCTCCATGCCCTGGGAAGGGGAGGGCCCCTGCAGCAGGTGCAGTCGTCCCCCAGCCCCGCCTCCCAGCGAACGCCAGCAACCACCAGCCCAGCAAGGTTCTGGAGAGCAGCACAGGCGGCCTGGCAGCAGCCTCAATGAGCAGACGCGGTCTGTTTGGAGGAGTTTTAGGAAACGGGGCTGGGGAGTAGGGAGGACGACTCTACTCGCCTGCAACCCCTGGAGCTGCCCACATGGGGCAGGTTTACACACAAAGGCCACGTCAAGAGGAAGGGGCCATCCATCTTTAATGCTCTGCTCCCTGGGTTGTAGGACTCAGGACTCCCCATGCTGCACAAGCCTGCCCCTCACTGAGGCCAGGAGGTTGGGGCGGGGGTGGGGGGGGGACAGAGGCAGGGGGCAGGGAGAGAGGGAGGGCAGGGATACAGAAGGCTGAGGGAGGAGCTCTGGCAGATTTAGCACCTGGATGGGGAGGCTGGTCTGCACCATGAAGGGTGAGCGGTGACTGCCCCCCACCCGCCTGTTTTCCTTCCGGACCCAGTTGGAGGTATGGGAGGAGAACTGAGAAGGAAAAAGCAGGGGTGCCTGGGTGGCTCAGTGGGTTAAGCATCTGCCTTCGGCTTGGGTCATGATCTCAGGGTCCTGGGATCCAGTCCCTTGTGTTGGGCTCCCGGCTCAGTGGGGAGCCTGCTTCTTCCTCTCCCTTTGCCCCAGCCTGCCCCACTGTGCACTCTTTTTCTCTCTCTCACAAAAAAGTAAATAAAATCTTAAAAAAAAAAAAAAAAGCAGGCAAGAAAGAAAAGGAAAGAGCATTCCCACGCCGGGCACGGTGCTGGGTAATGCCAGGCCCAGGAACCACCAGAAATCTTCCTGCAGTCTGGGGACCTACTAGGGCTCCAGACATTCTGGTAGGGGATCCCCAAGATGTCCCTCGGCAGGATCCTGAGTCCCCCAAGCTTCCAGGACAAAGGCCCACTCATACCCGCCCCCACTGGTGACTGGCCTGTCCAGTGTGATCGCCCACCAGACTGTGACACCGGTGAACCCCAGGGTCCCCTGCCCCCACCCAGCAGGGCCACCTCCTCCTGGAGCCCAAAGCAAGCAGATCCCCACACACCTAGTGTCCCTGTGGCCTACCCCTCACTGCCTCCAACTCAGATGTCCTGAGCTGCCGACTGTGGAGGTCTCAAGTCACCATCTAGAGCCCTCTCTCCTGGCCCCTCCTTAAGGTATTTCAGGTCCCAAGAGGGAAAGAAAGCCCTGAAACCTGAGGACAAGCTATCCTTGGTGACATGCCTGAGGTGCTCATTAATAGAAGCCTCGCTCAGGCCCCTGACACGTCTGGGCAGCTGCTCGGCCCCGTCTGGTGTCCCTCAGCCCCGAGACCAGCCCCCTCTGGCTCAGCTAGATGCACTAAACTTAGCTTCTACCCGACTCGGTCTTCGCTGCCACCTCCCCAGCCCGGCCGCCACCTGCCCAGGAGACACTGCCACCAGACCGTGCCCAGGACACCCACCCCTCCACCACTGCGATGTCCCAGACCAAAGCGCTGAAGGTCCGCGCCACCCTCTTCTGCATCCTGGTGGGCATCGTGCTGGCCGTGGTGGCCGTGGTGACCGACCACTGGGCCGTGCTGAGCCCCGAGGTGAAACACCACAATGCCACCTGCGAGGCGGCCCACTTCGGCCTCTGGCGGATTTGCACCAAGCGTATTGTCATGACTGACAGCACCGACAAGACCTGCGGACCCATCACCCTGCCTGGGGGTAACGTACCCACTCTCTGATCCCGTCCCCGCCCGGCCCTTCCTCACTACCCCCACCCCGGGAAAGCTGCCCGTGGGAGAGAGGGCAGGTCCCCCTGCCTTGGGACATCAACACCGCCCAGCCCTCTGTGCCCGGGGAGGAGGATCGGAACTGTGTGTGTTGTACTGGAGGCCAGAGCCGGTCTGTAAACTGAGGCCGTTGGCCTCGAGCTCTTTCTGTACCGTGGAGGCCTCCGGCTTTCCGCCCCGAGCACAGGGCTGTTGCAGGTGGGACCAGAGGCTCAGGAAAGACTCCGTGGCTCTGCCAGACGAGAAGCTTCTGGCCCCCGTGGGGGCCTCTCGTCCGCTCTCACCCTGCACGGACAGGCTAAGTGGCCGGAGGGACCCTGGGGCGGGCACGTGCGTTCCGCAGCCCCCAGGCTGGATCAGCCACAAAGTGCATACGGTGGGGCGCACAGTGGAAACACGGGGCTCCCCAGGATTGTTCTTGAGAGTTTCAGGATGGCCACGGTGAAGGCTGCAGCCGGGTGGGGGCTCTCGCCTGACTGCAGAGGCCACACCTCTGTGAAGCAGGACCTGCTCCTAGACCTGCTTTTTGTCTGAACCATCATTCCAGTGCATTCTCTGAGCTCAGACCCCTTCGGGGCTGGGAAGCATAGCTGCTGCTCAATTTTAAGTGTGTTCCTCAATTCCTGACCCCACCCCCCATGGGACTGAACGACACGTCAAAGGTGGGCTCCTTGTCAGGAACACCTGGTGTGAGGGTGACCAGACAATTCTGCAAATGGAGAAGCCCCCCACGTTCATAGCATACAGAGCCTGTGCTGTGGAAAGAGCCCTGCGTGGAGAATCGGAGGTCTGGGCTCCGTCACGCATTGCCCACGGCCCCCCAGTGACTCCGGGGTCAACAAAGCCCATTGCGGCCTCTGCTGCCTCCTATAAAACACAGGGCTTGACTCAGCAACATCAAGTCCCTTCCAGGGCTCCCGGATGTCACTGTAAGGCGGCAGTGGACCAGCCTGAGTACCGGGACCCACCTGATTTTCAGAATCATTCCCCCTGCGATCAGACTGGGTGTTCCTTGAAGTCTGCCTTCCGAGGAAGTCAGAGCTAAGTCCCCGGAGATCTCGCAGTATGTGTGTGGGACAAAGGAGCCCAAACCCCATTCCTCCACTTGTCTTTTTCCTCCTCCTTTCCCTCCTGCTGGCTCTAGAAAACTCCAGCCTTGCTCATTTCCCCCTAAGATACACGGAAGCCTCATAAATACCCAGCTGTCTTAGAAACACTGAGTCCCGGCACTGAGAGCTTTAACGGACATGGACATGTGCTTGAAGGGTATCCGCATAGCTCCCATGCCCACGCTTTCAGCCGAGGCCGAGCACACTCGTAAACAGACGCATCACTCAGCCAATTCCCATGGGTAGGGCAGGGCAGGGCAGGGCGAGGCAGGGTCTTGCCGGCCCATGCATGGGGAGGCGCTGCTCTGGTCCAGTCCACCTGTCCTCAGAAGCACCTGCCTTTTAAAATCTGGCGAGTTTATAGAGCAGATGAGCAGGGAGCCGAGGCAAGCCCGTACAAGGAAGAGACTAACAAGCAAGAGGTTAGCTACAGAGGACCAGCAGGCATGGTTTGGCCTTGAGCCTGACCAGAGTCCCTCCCTATGCCTTCTTGCCTTGGTCCAGAGTGAATCCTCCCTCCCACACTTGTGAGCCCTGCCCTACCTGCCCCCTCCCCGAGACAAGCTTCTGAAGTATGTTCCTCCCTTCTCCCCTCTCCTTTCTCTGCAGATGGACACCTTTTTCCCTCCCCACCCACTTTCCCTGTGCTCTGTGAGATTACTCTCTGCTGGAGGGAGGAAGAGGGTTCATACATGTTCTCTCGATTATTACTCACGGCAGTAATAACCACAAACACCAATCTAGCACCATCTGCCAAATACTGTTTTCAGTGCCTTCCGTGTTTTAACTTTGAATGACATCAGAAGAAATGGCAGAGTAAGAATCTCCAAAAACCCTCTTCTCCATAAAAACAAGAACTCTGGCAAAATTGGTCAGAATATACTCTTTCAGAACGCTGGAAATTAACCAGTCTTGCAGTAATCCAGCGAGTGCTTCTTTGAGAAAAATAGGTGAATTTCAGTAAGAACGGGGAGTTCTGTAATACTTAAGCTTGCTCTATTCCTGCTCCCCACTCCCCAACTCTGGCATAGGCTTGAAAACCAACAGCCTGCAAACGCTGAAAATTTAGTGGCCTGGCAGTCCCCAAAGGGGACAAATGGAGCTGGAGCCCTTTCAAAGCCTCATTCCTGGAGAACTGTCATTATCTGATCTGTCTGGGGGTTCCCTGGAAGTCTCCCCCTTGCAAGGCTGTCTTTATTTGACCTGATGCTGAGCTCACTCAGTGGAAACAGTCTTTTTCTCAGGGGGCATTTGTCAAAAACAATTAGAAACAATTGTTTAATATTGTTAATTAAACAAATGTTTAATAGCTGTTTAACATTGCTTCCTGAGGCATTATACAATAGTTAGGGCAAAGAGGAGGCTAACCAAAAAAGCTAGAAAATGAGATGTCCATAGGTGGCTTTGAGAAGCTCCAACATGTTCCAGAGAGTTTAGAAGGCCTTGTGCGTAAGAGTGCTGTATGGTGTACAAGGATAGGTCTGAGAAGGTCCTAAGCTCTCACCTTGGGCTGATCTTGAGGCTGTGGGCAAGCAGATAGTGCAAGCTAAGGCAGAAATATACGCTGCTGAGTGGAGCACTTACCTCTCTGCTTAGCATAGAGCCCACCAGTAAAGACTGGGAGATGGATTCATTCCAAGCATTTTACAAAATGTGATCTGGTTCCCAAACCACCTGAGCAGAGATTTCAGTGGTCCAGCATGACAAAGGAAATAGACTTTATGAAATTAATTAAGTCGCTCAACAAACAGTAGCAAACTCCAACAAGAACAAGCCCTAGGGAAAGGTGGGACTCTGATTTCCAGAGTGGCTCATCATATTGTTTAAATATTCCAGCTTTAAATTTAAGTTTTAAGTTAAAAAAATCACAAGACATGCAAAGAAGTAAGACAGTATGGCCCATACATAAGGGGGATAAAACCAATCAACAGATCCTTAAGAAAGCCCAGATATTGGACCTACAGATTTTAAATCAGAATACATTCAAAGAACTAAGAAAAAGTCTAAACAACAAAAGATGAGAATGATGTCTCATAATAGAAATTATCAATAAAGAGATAGAAATTACTGTAAAAGGATATAATAGCATGAGTTCAAGCCCCATGTTGCACTCTGCCTGGGCATGGAGTCACTTAAAAAAAATACTTTGGGGTGCCTGGGTGGTTGGTTAAGTGTCCAACTCTTGGTTTCAGCTCAGGTCATGTTCTCAGGGTCATGAGATCAAGCCCCACATTGGGCTCCACACTCAACACAGAGTCTGCTTGAGATTCACTCTCCTGCTCCTTCTGTCCCTCCTAATTGTGTGCTCTCTCTCTAATAAATAAATAAATCTTTTAAAAAGAACAAACACACACACACAAGAAAATAAAAGTACCTAATAGAAATTCTGGAATTGAGAACTATAATAATTGAAATGGAAAATCCACTAGAAGTTTTCGAACACAGATCTGAGTAGGTGCAAAAAAGAATAAGTGAACTTGAAGATCGATCAATTGTGATTAGCTAGTGTGAGGAATAGACCAGAAAAAAGGAAGAAAAATGAACAGAGCCTCAGAGACCTGTGGGATAGTATCAAATGAGCAACATATGCATAATGGTGGTCCCAGAAGGGAGGGCGAGAGAAAGCAGCAGGAAGCAGAAAAGCAGAACAATAATGGCTGAAAAGTTTCTAAATTTGATGCAAAATATTGATCTATAAATCCATGGCGCTTAATGCATTCTAGTAGGATAAATCCACACCTAGAGGCATCATGATCAAAACTGTTAAAAGATAAAGACCCAGAATCTTGGAAGCAGCAAGAAATGACTCCTCACATACGAGGGATCTTATTAAGGTAGGATTTACAGCTGATGTTTTTCCAGAAACCATGGAAGCCAGAAGGCAGTGGGATGACAAAGAGAAATAAAGATGCACTCAACTAATCTTCACAAAATCCCTACTATACTATTATCATCATCCCACCTCATAGATAAACAAAATGAAGCACAGAGAGGTTGAGTCACTTTACCGGGGTCACACAATTACCATGGCAGAGCAGCTAGAGTTCATGCCCCTAAAATTCTCCTTCTTGGTCACTACATTAGACTACTTCACAACAGCCCAGTAAGGAGGCTCACATTCTTCAGGTGGTTTTCATTCTACATGTGTGAAAGCTGAGGCTCAGAGTGGCCTTCCCAAAGCTAACCTTGTCACAAGTTCAACACCCAGGTCTCAAATCCAGAGCCCCTTGTCTCTCCAGCCCACTGCCATGCAATACGCCCCACGGTACGTACGAACAAAACTCCTAAAAGCTACCAATCCAGGCAAACACTTAGGAGGCCAACTTTTGACATGACATGGTTTGAAAGAAGCTCAACTAGGAGCTGGTTCCATAGAGGAGACTTTCCAAGGACCCACTGGGCCACAGAACGCTGGAGGCTCTGAGGACATAAATTGTCTGATTTGGTTTTTCCCAGTGACCCAAAGAGCTTTAGAAGAACTGTCATGCAAAGATCGACATCTGAGGTTAATTCTAACACCTTCAGAGTAAGAGGAGGGCCTTCCCCCATTGTCAGGAGAGGCTGTCTGTCTGAAAGCCCAAGTGAATCTCACCAGAGGGGACATCCCCTGCCTTTGGGTTGGGCAGAATGCTGTTTCTCTCAGGCTCTGTCTCTCCAGGCTAAGATAGCAGACTGCCCCAGTACCCCAATTCCCATATGGCCTGTCCTCTCCTCCAGTACCTGGTGCAGGAACTGGAGCCATAGCAAAGAGCATCAAGAATTTCAGGGACTCCCTTTCCCATCCACATGAGCCCATGCTAGAGACCCAGGCCATAACCAGACGTTCCCCCCCCCCCCCCCCTGCCGAGTAGAACAGCAATGCTCTGACCTTCTGGGCTTGGGTCTTGGGGATTTCTTCAACCCACTGGACAAAATTTCTCAATCCGAGTGGTAAGGGGAGACAGAGCACAGAGAAACCACTGTCGGGAGCATCAAGAACTACTTTTACAAAAAAGGGTGAAGACAGTCCTGGCATTGATGCGAGTAACAAGTAAGTGAACTATTTTTTTCCCAATGCTTAAGTCACTAGTTCCCTTAGTTTTGTGTCAACCAACAAAGTATTTTTTTTTTAAGATATTAAAGTCTGCATCAACCAGCACTGGGTACACTGATACATTCTCAGTGATAACCCAGCAGTACCCCTTAATCACAGAAGTTATCCCAACTATCAGAGGAAATCTGCATTAACTCAAGTTCAGGTTAGAGTCAAACATGCCTTCTGTTGTTGTTTCAAATGGGCAGTTAGATATAGTTGCGTGTAATCATTCCCTTAACCAGAATGCTTGCTTAGCCAGAACTCTCCAACCACAGTCAAGCTTAATAGCTGAATTCACCATATTATTTTTAAAGATTTATTTTTGTTGATTAGAGAGAGAGCAGAGGGGAGGGGTAGAGGGAGAGCGAAAGCCTTAAGCAGACTCCAAGCCCAGTGCAGAGCCGGACATGGTGTTCAGTCTCATGACCCCAAGATCACGACCTGCACTGAAACCAAGAGCTGGACACTCAACTGAGCCACCCACGTGCCCTGAGTTCACCATATTTTTTAAGGAATAACCCACTTAAATTTTTAGACCACTGAGTCTTATGACGGCGTATGACAGACATTTCTGGAATACCGAAAAATAGAAATATAAACATTAGAGTCGCCATCGGCCGTTTGCAGAGACAAAGGAGGCCAGAGGAACTTCCAGCTTCCTGATTATTAGCCGAGATCATCACCCTGACATTGGTATCTTCGCTGACTTGATCCAAAGCACTTGCTTCCTCAGCAAGTCCCCAGCGAAGGGGCTATCATCCATGAAGACTAAGCTCGAAGCCCTGAGCTTTGTGCAGCTCTGACGGAAGCTCAGGAAAGGCCCGGAAGGACATCAGAAAGGCAGAAGCAGGAAGACTCAGGACCTACGCAGTTGTCAGAGAGCCGCCACTGCCCTTTCTCCTCCAAGCCCCTCACCTGTGACTAAATGGCCCACACCGGGCCCGTCTCTGGTGTCCTTCCTTGTCAAGCTGCTCTCGATGCCGAGTGTACCCAGAACCCTGCAGACAAAGGGGCAGAAGCAAGGTCTGCCCACCTTCAGTGACACAGGCAGATGCCCTGCTTGATTTTTCCTGAATGAGCATCTTGTTGTTGCTGGAAGTGTCTGGAATGGCACGTGCATCTAACGTGTCCCCCAACCCCTGCTGGGGTCATCAGGGACCATGAAGGGGCTTGTGGTCTTCCATGGGCAGCCATGGGGCCCTCGAGCTGATGTTACCCCCAGGTTCAGGGTAGAAGACACTGGCCTAGCTCACGTGCTAAGTTCAAGAGAGGGGACAGGGTTGGCCCAACCATTCTCATGCCCTAAGCTCAGCCCCATCAGAGAGCAGCGGAGCCTTCCAGATGACTGGTGTGGGAATCCCTGCCATTGGGTGTCTCCTATTCCACACGACGTGATGTCACGTAATAGGGGAGGAGAGGGCGTAGGAGTGTCCCTGGGTCAATGAAGGGGGAAATCTCCCCCAGAAAATCCACAGGCAGGCTTCCTCAGACATGCAGCATCCCACTATGACCCGAGCTAAGACTGTTTTCATGCACATGGTGGTCTGTCGGGCTGGAGCCTGCCACCAATCTGGGGTTGGGGGGAGGCTGACAACACAAACACTCCCTCGGTGACAGTGACCCAGCAGCCCAGAGCTGCCCAATAGCTTCATGCTTTGGTCGGGCTCTGAGGGGCCTTCATCTCACGGCCCTCGGCTCCAAAAGCTTTTAACTCCCGGATTGCGAGTAGTCAGGGAGGCAGCTGACCGTGAAATACACTTGAATCCAGTCAATTCTTTTCAGAGGGTTTTCAGTGACAACTGAAATTGGCCCTTAAAGAATGAAACAGAAATGGTCCTTTGTCCAGAGGGAGACACACATGGCGACTTACGACAGAGCACGAGCCATTCTGAAGCAGTGATTTAAAAGAATCTAGAGCTAATAATCTAACGAATAGAAGAGAGTTGCATTATGTTTTAAAATAGCACCGGAAGCTGTGAGAGAGAAAAGAACAGCATTAATCTGACATCACCGCCGGCATTCAGACACCCCAGGTAACTCTGCTCAAAAGGAAAGTGATTTAAATATAGAAGCTCAGAGAGATGGCTGTTTACCTCGCAGAATATTTACTGCTGCTAAACCCGGCTCATCTCCAAGGGTCATTTCTCTCTCCATCATGAGAGGAGCAGCAACCCTGACATTGGGGGAAGGGAGGACTGGGAGGCCATAGGCTTAAGTGGCAATAAGATGACTTAGGTCACATAGAAGGAAGCCTGCAGACCAATGAAAGCTATGATTTGGCAACACCTCTGGTAACTTTCCAAAGGACACCCAGCATCAATAATCATCTCAGGATAATTTAAATATAGCCTGAAAGTGAAGAAATGAATGCACAACCTAGAGGCCATCTAAACGAGGAGTGGAGGTGTTTTCTACTGAGCATCATGGACCCACAGGAAGAAGAAATCAATGGAGGGGCTCACACAAATAAAAAGCAACCCAATTTAAATTTTTTTAAAAGAAACATAAAATAATATATATTTTTAAGATAATCATTCACCTACTTCCTAAAAACAGAGTCAAGGATATTAAACTGTACTCAATAAGCAGTATGAATATCCTTTGATGTCAAGTTACAAGAGAAATTAAGTGAGAAAAATGGAAGAGAAATTATGCCTGAAATTGTGTTTAAAACCAGCACGAATCTCTTTGTTCTGAGTCCTTCCTCTGGGCCCCATCAAATCCAGATTTTTGGTACTGTTGTTCACAGATCTTCTATAGCTTTTTTGACACTAATCAGCTAGAACAAGCACCTGCCAGGGGAGGTTGTGTCTGGCCACAGGTGTCAAGAGTCTGATGAAATGACATAATGGTCGCTCACATTTGGCAATGGAATGGAATTGAATGGAAGTTCCCTACCCTCCACCCAAATCCATCCATTGGTCCACTCAGAAAAGCTCTCTGTGGAGCATTTTAAGAGACCTGGAGCAGGGCTTTCCAAACTGGGTGAGCATCAGAATCTTCTGAAAAGCTTTTGAAAAACATCACTTGCTTCACGGTCACACCCAGTGCATCAGGATGGGCCCGGATATCCTTAGGAAAGACAGCCCTAGATGTTGGTGTGATCAGGCTTTCTCAACCTCAGCCCTACTGATAGACTGAGGCCAGTTAATTCTATGCTGTGAGGGGCTGTCCTGAAGCTGCGGGGTGATTAGCGTATTCCTGGCTTCTATCCTCTACATGCCACGTTACCCCTGCCAGTTGTGACTCCAAATGGGTCTCCAGACCTTGCCCAACAAGGCCCAGGTGAGAAGCACCATTTGGCTCTTTGTTGCTGGTACTCCCCAAAAAACGTGTTCCTGAGCCCCAGTTACCCCATCTGCCTAATGGGCTCACTACCCACAGTACTCTGTGCCCTCTCGACTGGGTCAGCCTTTACTTCCTGAAGATCTCCTAGCCTCTTACGAAACCCCCTTATCCTACTGAAATTTTGGTGTAAGGGTGGAGAAAGATGCTTGTTTTGGCTCAGATTCCGGGTTTAGGGTGAGGAGGGCCCCTGGGCGGGGCGTGATAACACACTCACCCTCTCTTAGTGGAGCTTCTGGCAGGTCTGCAGACCCTTGGGCTCAACTCACAGGCTGTCTCCCTCCTTTGCAGAGAAAAACTGTTCCTACTTCAGGCATTTTAGCCCAGGCGAGACCTCGGAGATCTTCGAAGTCACTACTCAGAAAGGTGAGTGGGTGGGCGAAAGCAGGGAGGGTCAGGAAGAGAACCCCCGGGCCGGACTGCTGAGCCACAAAGTCATTTGGCCCAAAAGCCCGGTCTTCGCAGCTTGCGAGGAAAAGCGGCTGAGCCTGACGCTCTGCGCTCTGAGAGCACAACCCGGGTGGCCCGCCATCCGGAGAGACCCTGGAAGGAGACGTTTCCTGGAAGGCCCCGCAGTCGTCTTCTTGCCGGGGCCCGGGGGAGGCCGGAGTGACCGGGAAATGGAACAGGACTCCAGCGCCCGGTGCTGGTCTTCAGGGCGGATCAGAGCCCGCGGGGAGCTGATTCCCTCCATCGCCTGCCTGGCCCCCGCCCCATGGGGGGCGGGGGGAGTCCGGGGAGCGGCCCAGGGGTCTCGGAGCGCGTGTACCGCGGGGGCCTTCTCCGCAGGGGTGCGGGCCCTGCACACAGTGTGGGCACGCAGCGCGCACACGCCGGCCCAGAGAGAGCCTCGCGTGCCCGTGCACACACGAGCACGCCCGCTTGGGCAGTCTCTACACATGCAGCACGCGCGCGCACACACACACACACGATCACACGCAGGGCCCTGCAACAAGCCACACCTGCCGCGGCTGCTAGGGGTCCCAGCGCAGACCACCCTCCCTCCGAGGCTCCCTGGCTCCCAGGAAGCTTTGTGTTCCAGAAAGGTCTGCGGCCACGTGCCCCCACCCCTCCCGCCGCCTGCTGCCAGGCCCCTGTCCCCCACCGAGGGGGAACATGTAGCTTCGCCACCACCCCGACCCCAGGAGTGGAAAGGGGGTCCTGTTGCCCCCGCTGTGTGACTCTGAGTGAGGGGTTTCGTCGCGGACCCTCAGTGTGCTCCCCAGAGCCATGCGCACAAGGACGCGCGGCACCAGCCGTCCGGCCGCCGAGAGGCCGCCGCTGAGCCGCGGTGCCGCGCCCGCCCCCTGTCCCGCAGAGTACAGCATCTCGGCCGCCGCCATCGCCGTCTTCAGCCTGGGCTTCGTCATCATGGGGACCACGTGCGCGCTGCTGTCCTTCCGGAAGAAGCGGGATTACCTGCTGAGGCCCGCGTCCATGTTCTACGCCTTCGCAGGTAGCGCGGGGGCCCCGGCCCGGGCGAGGGAGCGCGGCCGCCGGCTCTGCGGCCACCTGGGGGTGGGGAGCCAGCCGGGGCCGGGCCGCAGCACACCCCGCCCCCGGGGTCGCCGATCGGGCCGCCTGTGCGCTCCGCGCGGGAATCGGAGGGTGGGGGAGGGGCGCGGAGAGCCAGGCTGGTCGCCAGCACCGACGGGAAGGATCGAGACGCGGCTCGCGCGCGGGCTGGGCGGCGGGCGGGGACCCGGGCGGCTGCGCAGGCTCCGGCCCCGAGCTCGGCCCGGGCGCTCTCAGCACCGGCCCTGAAGGTCCCGCTCCGCCCCAGGCCTGTGCATCTTCGTGTCGGTGGAGGTGACGCGGCAGTCGGTGAAGCGCATGATCGACAGCGAGCACACCGTGTGGATCGAGTACTACTACTCCTGGTCCTTCGCCTGCGCCTGCTCCGCCTTCGTCCTCCTCTTCCTCGGCGGCCTGGCCCTCCTGCTCCTCTCCTTGCCTCGAATGCCCCAGAACCCCTGGGAGTCGTGCATGGACGCCGAGCCCGAGCACTAGCCCTCCCGGAGCCCCAGCCCCGCCTTGGTGCTTTCCCCTCGGGAAGCCAGAGCCTGGCCCAGAACGTTCTAGAGAGGAGGCGGGAGCTTTCTCTGTCCCCGGTCCCACCCACCCCACGACGTCCACTGCTGCTTCTGTCTCTGAGCCCTTCTCTGGGCTGTGACAGGCTCCCCTGGGAATCCAGCAAGTGGACATGATCCACACCTGCCCAGGGTGGGAGGGAGACTGCGGGGCTGGCAGGTGCGCAGGTGTCTGGTGAGGACGCACCTTCCCCTGGAGCTGCCCGTGGGCCTCGCTGAGCCAGCTGTCTTTGATAAGCAGGGTCCAGGTGTCCTCCCTGAGCCCTATAGGGACGCCCTGTGCTCATTTGCCAGTCCCCGTGTTGCCTGTGTAAATAGCCAGCCCCTCCCTCCGTCGCTGGGACGAGACACCCTTTCCAGTGAACTGAACGTTCCCTCCTTGGTTTCCAAGACACCTGAGGAGCATTTTTTAACTGGGTAGAGTCTGACTATGTTTGAAATAAAAGCGGTTTGAAAACTTACTTTTTCCTTGCACCTTGCATACAAATTGCTTGGTTGGATTCCTGACCTTAGATGGCCCAGGGGCCCCATGACCCTGAAGTGGGAAGAAAAGCATGTCCCCCTGGCGTTGTTCCCTACTTTTGTAGGGAAGCACGTGGATGATGGGGAGGGGGGATGACGGGATAACGGAGTCTTGTTTACCAATAAGACTTAGAGGTTCTGAATTCCAGCTTGGATCGCTGGGCCCTGGGATTTTCTTTGGGAGAAACCAGAGACCATCTGACTAGGCAAGGGTGTTAAAAATAAGGAGGGGTTATTTCCAGAGCCCCAGCATGCCAGACTCCAAGTGCTAACACAGCACTCCAGCGGCGGCACTACCCGGGTCTGATTTCAGATGCTGGATTTTTGTTGCAATGAACATCAGGAAGCAGGGCTTAGCAGTTAGACACCTAGGGTCCCCCGGAGTGTCATAATTTACACTTTCTACCTTCCAAACCCCATCCTATTCACCCAACCCTCAGAAATGGTAAGTCAGACACAGATGGCAGAGGGGATCCCCGTGTTCCTTGCCTTGAACACGCACCAGCAGTCCTGGGGAGCCCTCATTCCTCTACAGCAGGGGTGGCAAACTTGGCCGGCAGGGCCACACCTGGCCTGCCGCCAGCTGTGATATAGTCGGCAAACTAAGAATGGTTTTTACAATTTTAAATGGTTTTTAAAAATCAAAAGAAGAGGGGCGCCTGGGTGGCTCAGTGTGTTAAGCCTCTGCCTTCGGCTGAGGTCATGATCTCAGGGTCCTGGAATCCAGTCCCACATTGGGCTCTCTGCTCTGCGGGGAGCTTGTTTCCCCCTCTCTGCCTGCCTCTCTGCCTACTTGTGGTCTCTCTCTGTCAAGTAAATAAAATCTTTTTAAAAAATCAAAAGAAGAATATTTTATGATATTTGGAAAGTACTTCCATTTCATTGGCTGTATAATAAAGTTTTATTGGAACTGTCAAGGAAAAAATTGCTCAAGGATGCCTGGGAGGCTCTGTTGGTTGAGCGTCTAGCTTGGTTTGTCTCGGGTCATGATCCCAGGATCCTGGGATCGAGCCCTGCATCGGGCTCTCTGCTCAGCGGGGAGACTGCTTCCTCCTCTCTCTCTGCCTGCCTCTCTGCCTACTTGTGATCTCTCTGTCAAATAAATAAATAAAATCTTTTAAAAAATAAATAAAGGAAGAAGCATGAGTCTGGGGACATCTGGCGGGTCTCGTGGTAGGGCTTGTCCAGATGCCTGCCTCCCTGTTGTCTCAGGGCTTCGGGGTGGGCTTGCGGGGCTGGCCCAGGAGCCTGGGGGACAGAAAGCACAGCCCAGCCTTCTCTGCAGCCATGGGCGGTGCAAATGGCTGGCACATGATTGTGAAAGCAAAAGGATCAAAGAGAGCAGGGTGACAAAATGTCAGGAAGCTAAAGCCGGGACCTGCAGAGAAGGAGGGTGGGGCAGGTGAGTCCTGGAGGACACTGAACGGCCCCACATGGCCCTACAGCCGCCGGCGGGTCACTGTCCCAAAGAGGCAGAGACAGAACCCGAGAGCAAACATGCTGCAGGTAAGAGAACGGGAAAACGCAAGTCTGGGCCAGCCAGGGAGTTGGGGCCACAGTTTAGGAGTAGGAAGGAAGACAGATGACCTCATCCCACAAACTCCATTTTGGAAGTCAGTGTTATCGTCGGTGTGCATTTTACACCCTTATGTGGGCGCCCGTGTTTTCGGCACCACAGACCCCTCTGAGTGGAATACCAGCCGAACAGATTACGTTTGGTTTCCCAGGACTTGAACTCCTTCGAGAGTTTGCTAGGTGCGCCCGAAACTGCTTTGCGCACAAAAGCATCCGAGGGAAGCTGGCAGAGACTCACGCGTGATCGCATCTGCTCCAGCTTCTGCCGTGGGGAGAAATATGCCACAATAAGGCAAAACAGAGCCCGATGCCAAAAGTGAAGCAGGATCCACCAAACCAAGGAAGGAAAACGGGCTTCTCTCCCCGGCCTACTGACCTACGCTTGCCAGGAAGGGGGTTGGTCCACAAGGGGCAGTCGGTCCATCTTCCTCCGCTTGGGTCCGGCTCGGGATGCCGGGCATCCCCTGGTGTGCAGTCAGACCACGCTCTGAGGACCCCCAAGCTAAGCTATCACACAGGGCTTCCGCCCCCTCGCTTGGGTTGTGTGCATGTCACGGCCACCGGATCGAGGTCTCACACACCTTCACTCTCTTGGCTCTTTAGAATTCACTGGATTCCCTGAGGACCCAGGACTAGCCATTCAGTTATCAGAGAAACATTTGCGTGTGAGATTTCTTTTTTTAACTGTGGTAAAATACACAAAGCATAACATGTACCATCTTAACAGTTTTTTTTTTTTTTTAAGACTCATTTGCTTGAGATAGAAAGAGTGGTGAGGAGGGGTAAAGGAAGACTCTGCACTGGGCGGGGAGCCCGACACGGGGCTCCATCTCACAACCCTGAGATCACGACCTGAGCTAAAACCAAGAGTCGGACGCTCGACCGACAGGTGCTCCCCCACCATCTTAACCACCTCTAAGTGTGCAGGTCAGTAACGTTAAGCACATTTACATTGTCATGCGACCCGTCTCCAGAACTCTCCATCGTCCCGAACTGAAACTCTGCCCCCACTAACCAATTCCCCGCTCCCCGTCTCCAAGCCTGGGGTAACCACCATTCTCCTTTCTGTCTCTATGAAGTTGGCTGCTCCAGTGAAATCATACAGTATTTGTCCTTTTCTGTCTGGTTTATCTCACTTAGCATCCTCCAGGTTCATCCACGTGGAGTCTGTATCAGAATCTCTTTCCTCTTCAAGGCTGAGTAGTATTCCATCGTATGGCTGATTCTACCACGTTTTGCTGATCCATTCATCCGCTAATGGACACTTGGGGGCTGCCATCTTCTGGCTCTTGTGAATAATGCTGCTGTGAACATGGGCGTTCAAGTGTGTCTTCATGACTCTGTTTGCAATTCTTCTGGATATCTACCAAGTGTGACATTTCCTAAATCAAAACTATTGCAGTGCTGTGAATTGTGTAACCCTGATGATTCACAGATCTGTAGCCCTGAAGCAAATAACACATTATGTTAATTTAAAAAAAAAAGGAAAGGAATAAAAAAACTATTGGAAAATATCCATGATGAATATAATACCGAGGCTTTACGTGAAGACAGGATCCAAATTATTGCTTTGTCCTACTGTCATGCTTGTGGGGCGTGGCATCACAGGGGAAAAGTAGCCACAACTGTCCCCACGTACACAAGAGAAAACTGATTCGAGGCTGCTGCTTTGCCAATGTCTAAGCAGGACCCTTTACCAGTCAGTCCTCACCTGACCTCTGTCCAGTAACCGGGGCAGGGGAGGGGAAACATCTCACCCTCTCTTTGGCTAACTCATAGAAGGTCCTGACCAAACAGTCTGGCTTTACTAATCCCTCCTTGAGACTAAAACTTTCAAGGACCTGGGTGTCCCTCTATTTTTCCTGACTGCCCCAATAAAGTTGGATTTTAACCACATCATACTGCAGCAATATTTCCCCTGCCAGTGTGGCCTGTCCCATTTGGATCAAATATTTTATTTACAAATTCATTTCTAATTTATACTCTGCCCACTTTCAGAAAAGATCTGAAGCAGAGGCAAGGACTAAGAAACCCGTGACGTGGAACGTATCATTACACTGATGGCTGCTGTTCAGGTAGGGATGCAGCTGCCTACAGCCCCCTCTTGCCCACATTTCATGGTGTCACCCGTTTGCAGCCACTAAGGCCATAAATTCATCCCCACACAAGGCATGGCTCCTGCAGTAGCATTTTGTACTTTGAGCCTCTGCTCCTTCTAGAAATTCCCCGTATTTTTCTCTTTGCCCTCTTTTTCTTTACAGGGTTCCTGCTCTTCCCACCCACCCCTTACACTTGCGGGTTTCCAAGTCTCCCATCTTCAGCCTCCTCATCCCACAGGACAGTGGCTGAGAAATGTCACTCTTTCCCCGGCCCTGGGAGCCCATCCCGGCCTGTGCCTCCTTCTGTACCCCAGACCCTCCAGAGCACCCCAGACACAGATGTCCAGACCCAACCTCTCACTTCTTACCCAAACCTCCCCTCCATTTTTTGTTGCTTCCGTTGGGTGGCGTCTTGCCTACCCGTCCGCCTAAGCCGTGAACTGCTGTCGTTCCTCGGACAGACTCCCGGCTTGCTCACCGGACAGACCCCCCGGCTTGCTCACCAAGCCCGCTTCACAGACCCTCCTCCTGAAACAACTCCCAAGCCCACACCCTTGTCTTGCTCCCTGGCCGCCGCTCGGGCCGCCTGAGGCCAGGCTCTGCCACCCTAGGTCCTTAGCACTGGCCACCAAGGGAGACTTTTCCAGACACACCCGGCCGTCCCCATCTCTCACATAAGCGATGTCCTTTGCTTAACCAAGTATGCGCTTCCAGACTGTCTCCATTTCCTTCTGATGCTGTAACAAACCACACAAACTCAATGGCTAAAAATAACACATTTATTCTCTTACAGATCTGGGGGCAGAAGTCAGAAATGACTCTTACATGGCCCAAACCAAGGTGCTGGCAGGGCCGGCTCCTTCGGGCAGTCCGGGTGGGGACGTCCAGCTCCTAGAGGCCGCCTCCCTTCCCTGGTGTGTGTGTCATTCCGACCCCTACTTCTGCCATCACGTCTGCTTCTCTGACTTTGGCCCCCGCTGCCTGCCTCTAATTAGGACCTTTGTGCTCGCCCTGGGCCCGTCCAGATAATCCAAAATAATCTCCCCATCTCGAGATCCTTAACTTAAATTACATTGGCCAAGTCCCTTTCTTTCACAAAAAGTTCCAGGTCCCAGGGGTTAGGAGGAGGGCAGGGGGTCTCTGGGCGTGAGGATTCGGATGCGGACATCTTTGGGGGACCACGATTCCGTCTGCGCCCCCGACATCACCGTTGCGTGCCGGCGGGAAGGAGGGATCCTGCCTGGTCCCGTCCTTCCGGAGCTGAT